CTTTTCAGCAGAACATAATCAAGTAGGATAGGGAAGACAAAAGAATGGAGATAATCAGCTGGAGGAGGCCGTGGCTCAGTCGGAGAGCACCGAGTACAAGAGTACAGCAGGGTTCATCTCCAAAGGAAAAGGCAGCAAGGCCTCAAGTTAGAGAAATTAATAGGAATATATCAAGGAAGTAGTTTGAGAACTGCTGAGAATGGTTTGGGACTCACTGGGGCAGATATGTTAGATCTTTTAAAAAATACATGTATTTATTGGTTACCTGCTGGTGAAACCCATCAGACTCGCAGATAAAAGGCTGGGAATTTGCAGCACAGAATTCATCTGCATTAAGACATTTTCTTCTCTGGAAACAAGTTAATATAACCCCAGCTGTGCCAGAATCTTTTGGTTTTTCTCATTCTGAAATTTCTTGTGGGGGAACTGGTTCAAGGCTAGGTTGAATGGGGCTTGGAATAATCTGGTCTGATGGAAGATGTCCCTGCCCATGGCAGGAGCTTGGAACTGGATGAGCTTTAAGGTTCCTCCCAATTCAAACCAGTGCATGATTCAATGATTTCTCATTTATTTAGGCTCAGAGGGGTATTGGTGTAAGCTCTTCATAATTCAAATAGGCAAACACAATATGCAGGTATTTTGCCACCCAGATTCAGGTTCACCTGTGCAATAAGTGATCCCATCTTCCTAGTCCTTTTAAGGGAGGGCAGGGATTCCCTGTACAATATTTCAATATGCAGTCTTTAATATTAAATTGAATTAATAAGTGCATTATCATTTTTTGATCCTCTGGCTTTTAAGCAGATCATAAACTTCAGCAAACGAAAGGTTGAGATTTTTCCTGCCTCAGCATTTATTTTTTGGGCAGTCTGAGGTCAGCAAATTCCAAAGTCAAGAGCTGCTTTGTGCTTATAAATTATCCATTTCATTTTTCATACAATGAAGACAAAAGGGCGTGTTGCTGCTAGAGATGTCAGGCTGTTCTTGATTGGAAAAGCCTGATTATTTGGTTCTTCATCTCAGAGGAATCAGCAGGTGATGAGAATGTGGTTCCCTGGGGTTTTGTCTCCCAGGACACTCTCCTGTGTCTCCTCAGTGAAGATGTGAATGCTCCTGTCCTGGTTTGGAGGTGGATCTGACAGAAGATGCTGTAGGACTATAAATTTTTGGGAGCTGGGGGAGTTCACCTGGAAAAGAGAAGGCAGCCTGGGATAGTGGGAAGTGTCCCTGCCCATGGCAGGGTTTGGAGCTGGATGACCTTTAAGGTCTTTTCCACCCAAACCAGACTGGGTTTCCATGTGTCAACCTGATGTGTTCACATTATATATATATATATAAAATACATTATATATACATATATACAACCCTGTTACATTTCTATAACAGGTTCAATATTTTGTTTCACGTGAGAGATGCTCAATCAACTCTTAAGGTGTTGCTAAAAAAAGAATAAATTAAAGAAGAAGCTGCTCATTGTGGTAACGAATCTCCGAGCTCGTGCCCACTGTCCCAGACTTTTTTGGGGAAAGGTGGGATATACCCTTGTCACTTGCCTAAATTAACCTTTAGCAGATGAATTGGAAGGTAATTTAATTATTGTTTGGTGGATCCCAAGTGAGGGTCAAGCTTCAAATGACTTATGGGAAAAATTGTCAGAAAATTAGCGGAATTTGCATGGAGTGTAAGGTCAGGAGGCCTTTTCATGTTCAAGGAGACTTTGGCTGAATATTATTAGCATGCAATTTGTATAAAACTCATTTAAAGAGGTGATGTGCAGGTCAAGGAAGAAAAGATCTCTTTTCTTTGTTCATACTCTCTCATGTTGGTTCTGTGCCACCTGATGTGAAATAAATTACTTTTGGCACATAGAGAAAATAGTACCCTCTCTCCAGAGTGTAAGGAATGGGGCTCTCAAAAGGCATTGCATCCCAGTGCCACAAAAAACAAGGCAATGGGAGTTTAAAGGGAAAATCACCTTGACACAAGGAATGACTTGAAAGAAAATGGAAAAATGTCTGTTGTTCAGAACAGCTCCCTTTTCCATTGTTTACTCTTCTCTTTTCAATTCAGAGCTACTATTTAATTTTTGGAGAGCCTGAAAGACTCACCTGTCCATGTCACTGTTTTAAAAACCCTGCAAAATATATTTATTTCTCTGTAAAGATTTCATTCCTTTATTCTGAAAAGATAATGAGAGTAACTTCATTAACGTCTGGGATTTTCCATGCCTGCTTGATTCTTTTAGCTTTTATGTTGTGTCAGAGGTTGGACTTGATGATCTTGGAGATCTTTTCCAACCACAAAGATGGGAGTTGCAAACCCCCCTGTGGAGATGGGGAGATCTGGGCGCAGTGTTTCCAAAGGCACCAAGTAAACCAGTGATGGGGGGAAACAGTGGGATGAGATGTTCCTGGTTCCTTATTCCCAGGGGTGAGGGACATGCTCATAGAATCACAGAATCATTAAGGCTGGGAAAGCCCCCCAAGGTTGGGAAAGCCCCCCAAGGCTGGGAAAGCCCTCCAAGGCTGGGAAAGCCCCCCAAGGCTAGGAAAGTCCTCCAAGATTGGGAAAGTCCTCCAAGGCTAGGAAAGCCCCCCAAGGTTGGGAAAGTCCTCCAAGGCTGGAAAAGCCCTCCAAGTTCATGGAGTCCAACCATTCCCAGCTCTGCCCAGGCCACAGTGACCCATTCCCACCCTCCCTTCTGGCTCTGTTTGCCCTTCACATGGAGCAGCTTCCTGGTGTGATGGGAGCCTGTCCTGCACTTTCACAGGGAGGATAAAATAGATGAAAAGGTAACCAGGTTACAGGCACAAAGTATCCCGGGACTGTTTGCTAGCAGCTTATTCCCATGGCATTCCTGCTGGAGTTACTCCTTGCTGGAGTCTCTCAGAGCAACTGAGCGTGGCTGTCTCAGGGATTAGGAAGCACTGGAAGCCCCTGCAATAGAGCAGCACTGGTGTTTGTCTGTTTATAATTAATTTTTAGTAGTCTTTTTGTTGGGCATTCATGGCCACAAGCGAACTCTGCAGGTTCTGGCGGTGCAGAAGGTTTAATTTTGCTAATCCTGTTTTATTCCTATTTCAGTGTAGCTGTTTCAATGCCACAACATGGTGCCTGCAATGAATTTCAAATGTATTTTCGGATGGCATTGTCTTGCAGAATGGGAGAGAAAATCATCCCTCCCAAATGCCGTTTGCAGGGGCTTTTTCCTGCTGTCTGGAAATCCCACCCTGCATACAAAGCAGGGAGGAAGCACAAACCTCTTCCTCACAAGCTCTCGAGCCCCAACCACGATTACAACCTTTTTATCTGGGATAAAAAGCATTTTCTTTCATCCTTCTCAATAAGAGTGTTTTGCTTTTACCATTTGGTACAACACCTAGTGCAAGCCACACATACTCTGTCATTTTTTCCCCTGAACTATGATTTTTTTATACTCTTCACACGCACAAGAGTACAAATGAAATGCTGCTGGCATTGAAAAGGCCCTTTAGAAAAGCAGCCGTGATTCCAGCCATGCCTGGGAGCAGGTCCAGCTGTCACTGGGTGGTTTTTGGGGAGGAACAATGGAAAGGTGAAGAGTTACCCTCCTGAATTTTATTTCATAAATCACAGAATGATTTGGGTTGGAAGGGACCTTAAAGCTCATCGAGTCCCATGGGCAGGGACAGCTTCCACTGGATCAGATGCTCCAAGCCCCATCCAGCCTGGCTTTGGGCAGTTTCAGGGATGGGGCAGCCACAGCTTCTCTGGGCAGCCTGGTCCTGCACTGATTTTCTTAAATATCTTCTTAATGCTCTTAAAGCTGTGTGTTAGTGGAGCCACTGGTGGAATTCTGAGTCTCCCTGTCTCTTCCCACTTGCTTATAACCCTGATTTCCTTTGCTTTGAGAATGGCTCCTTCAGCGCTGACTTGGGGGTGGAGGGACAGCTAATTAATTAAGCACTAATTGTTGTCAAGTCAATCGGTGCTAACATGTAACGTTTGACTTGTTTACTCTCCCGAGGTAAAGTGAAAGGAGTTAATGATGTAACAAATTGTGTCCCCCATCATGAGGGACTTGTTGGGAGAGAATGGTGTTATTTATGAACTGTAAAATAACACATTTTAACAAAACCCCCAGATTTTGAAGGAAGATGGGTTTGGTTCTGGTGTGAAATTACCACTAGATAGCTGTGGAGACAAATGCGTCGCCTAATAAAGCTTAATGACTGATTTTCCCATTAATCAGAACTGAGAATGTGCTTCATTAAGATAATTAACTGAGCCAGTTGCTTAACTGACAGTTAGGAGACACAAATTCCCAAGTTACTTGCTTTCCTCTTAATAAAACCCACAAGAAGCTGACCAGCTTTGTAGCTTTTATCGGCGAGGGGAGCACAAGGACTGTCGAGATCTCCTGGCTCACAGGAGCTGCGCGACAGAGTCTCCCTGTGGGACACGGGTGGGACCAGGGGGTGGCCCTGCCCAGCCCCACACGGGATGCAAGCCTTGGCCTCCAGCTTTTCACAGTCAGCTCACGCTGAAAGCTCACCAAGGCTTGCCCTTCTCCATCTCGCCAGCGGCGAATGGTCTTTCATCTGCTGCTTTCAGAAAGGTCAGGTCTTTGGTTTTATCACCCAAGAACTGCTCGTTCTTCCGAGGAGGAGAATTCCTTGCCTGACTTTGTGGCCCCTCCTCTGTGTTCATCGCAAGCTGGAACTGGGGTCATGAGTCCTGAACTCCCCTGGAGCAGGGATGTGGAAGATGAATCTGCTCCGGGTGCATTTGTAGGCAGAATATGCAGCGCTGGAGAAGTTGTGGGAATTAACGGGGAGATCCAAAACTTGAATTATTAAATATGCTATCTGGTTGTAACGTCTGGTTGTAAATCCCTTCCTTCACAGCTGTCTGTGTCTGGAATTCTAACAGGGAGATGCTATCAGGACTCTGCACACAGACAGCAACTCGGGAGCCAACATAAGGCAACCGTCTCAACTCTGCTTTTCTTTTGTCCTCAGAGTTCCCGGTCTTCCACCATGAATCCTGTTTACAGCCCCGTCCAACCTGGGGCTCCCTATGGAAACCCGAAGAACATGGCCTATACAGGTAGGACAGGGGTTGTGGCTTTTCCTGGATGTCTGTGCGTGGTGGTGGTTGATCCCTTAATGAGGTAGAAAGATTTCCCATCAGGGAACCGGAGGGGAATGTGACTCGCAGGAAAAGTCCTTCAGCAAAGCCAGTGCAGTGAGGGCAGTGAGAAGAGTTGGAGCTGAATTCATGCAAAGAGGATGCCCTGGAAATCCTAAGGAAAAGGATCCAAAGGGCTTTTTTCTTTAGATTAACAAACATGCCAACAGGTGCTGGGACAGTCAGCGGGAGGGCTCCCCTCAGGAGCTGCCCTGAACCACTGGGGTGCACGTGCTGGAATAATCCAGCTGTGGAAATGAAGATCCCACAGCCAAGAGCCCCTTGTTTGGAGAACATCCAGGTATTGTGATAGGTGGTGACTTAAGCTACAGTATTGACTGATTTTTTTTTTTTTAATATTTCAAGTTGTGCTTTGGTTGAGTTCTTATGTGGAAGAGTAAGTCTGTTGTCTGTTTGAAACCTTCTTTAGAACTGAGTCGTCTAAAAATGTCATCCTTAATACTTGATAAAGATGTTTATGTAACTAGTGGGGAACTAAATTGTACTGATATGGAAAGAATTCATATGGGACAGAAACGGTGCTTTGGAAAAAGAAAATCCCAGTTCAGGTGTATCTGGTTTTCCCTGTGCATTATGTTCACCTTGACTTGCTTTGATCTTGTAACCCCTTTACAAAATCTGCCCTATAAAACTCCTTTTTATACCATTTTGGGGAAAGTAATCAGCTCTTGGGTGTCATGTTGTGTTAGGGCTTCCTGCTATCTGCATTGATTCACCTGATGCGTGGAATTATTTGGGAACGTGCTTTTGTGGAGGAGAGTGTCACCAGCAGATGGGAATGAACATCAAATACTCTGAGCTGCTTTGTGCATGGAATATTCTGGTTGAGTTTGGCAGCCCTTCCAGCTGGTGGATCAGTGGGGCTGTGAGGAGCCCTGTCTGAGACTCTGCAGAGCAGAGAGTTCCTCAAAGGCGTTTTGCCCCATTTTTATTCATCCTTTCTTTTTCCCATTCCAATTTATGCAGCTGCTTTGTTGGAGATACTGTAGCTTGGGGGAACTTTGGTCTCGCAGTCAAAGCAGGAGAGGCTTGAAAAAAGAAACAATCTCTGTGAAAAAGTCTCTTCAAAAATCTCCCCATTGTGAGAGGACTGTGCACTCCAGCAGCGCTTGGGTGATAGAACGAGCTCATAAGTGCACAGTTATTTTCCTGCTCTGGAAATAACAGGAATTTTGTGGCTTTCCAGCACAAGAGGCTACTTCTCTCCCACTTTACTTTGATATTTTTTTTTTTTTTTGGCATGTGCTGAAAGCTCCACCTTAACATCCATTCAATGTAAATTTCTGTATCTGCTTTCATACAATCCTGGGTGTCTTAGCAGCTGCTTTCTGGCAGCTTGATAAGACAATTAAAATTAAATATTGAGGTGCAGATTGGCCAGAATTTGGACCTTGACCTTTCTAGAAGAATTTTAGAGGGAGAATTCTGCTTTAGATGAAGGGATTCATGAAATTCCAGAATGGTTTAGGTAGGAAGGGACCTTAAAGCTCATCTGAGTCCATCCTCTGCAATGGGCAGGGACACCTTCCAAAGACCAGGTTACTCCAAGCCCCATCCAGCCTGGGCTTGAACACATGAATTCTGCAGGACTCCATTTGGAATGAGTCAAGTGCCAACATTAATGGGATGTTGTCTTCTGAAGTAACCTGCTGTCTGATCACTGTGAAGTTCCTACTGTGCCCTTAACTCCGTAAAATTTGACTTGGCCAACTTGTGCCAGCTCTGATCCATGCAGGGATCAGGAGGATGTGGCCCCCATGGTTTCATCCCAAACCATCCTTCAGGCATTTGTCTTCCAGAATTTTTGGTAAATGCACTGAAATCAGTGGTGGATGTGCAGGATAATCTTGGAGGAAAAAGCTTGAGGCAGATCAAACTGGAAAAATTAAAATAAGGTCCTTGGTTATGTCAATGGTAAAACAAAGAAACAAATGTAGGACAGCACAGCAGGAATATTCCTGCTGGATGGTTCCATTGCCCAGGTGGAAGATAAGGAGTCAGTGGGCTCAACTCTTACAGTGAGGTCCCAAAATAGAAGTCAAAAAGCACTTTACAGAAGAGCTGGGTTTTTTTTGGTTTTTTTCCCTGGGCACATAGTATTACAAACCCTTTTAAATCTGAATTTGTTTGAATATGTAATGAAAGACTCAAAGTTCTATAGCGAATGAGGAGGAGAAAATTTAAATTTTATCCTCTGCAGAGAAAAGGCAGGCTACTCTTGATGGTGGTCTGAGCAGCTATGAAAAGAGCTGTGGAACAAAACTCAGGTGGGGTAGAGGCAGGAAGAAAGCAGGGATAGTGATCAGGATACTGGCAGCATGAATTCTATGCTTTTGTGGGGTTTTTTATGCTAAATGTGAATGCTTTACACTACTTAACATTTTGTTTATTGTTTTTATTTATATGATAGCTTTAGGCTGAAATAATGAGTTTTAATCTGAGTTTGAATGATTTTCTTCTCATTCTGACTTCTGTGTTGTTTCCTGGCAGAGCAGGGAGAGAGGTCCATTACAAGATAAATAATCCAATTTTTTCTGCCAGATTGGCTGTTAGGGAAAATAGGAAATCCTTGAGTTAGGGAGAATGGGAAATCCTTGGCACATACTCAAGTACTTGATGAAGCATCCGTTTATTCAGATTCTTGATTTTTCCATTTTGATCTTCCTTAATGGAAGTGTGAAGGACAGTTATTTCCTAAATAATTTTTCAAGTGTGGGCTGGATTGGCTGGATTTTTATGGGAAATAATAATTAGATTTAAAAAAAGAAGTTTTAAAATACAGTTACTCAGTGAGATAAAATCAGAATTGTTCAACTCATAGGAGAAATCTCTATGAAAACAATCCATGTGTTTGAATGAAGGGATTTATTAAGCACTTGTGGCTTCTCCTGTGTCTCATTTTTGGGGTCCTTAGAACTCCCAGATCTGTTGAATCGTCCCCTCCTTCCCATTTTTTGTTGGAAACTGAAAGAGGAGGAGAATAACTTCTGCTGGCAGTGTTTCCTGCTGCTGGGTGAGCAGCTGTGGAGCTGAGGGAAGGTGACACAGGCAGAATATTCTGGCTGCAGACAGAGCCACATCTGCCCAGTGCCAGCTTTGTGCTCCAAGTCCTGGCTCCTCGTGCCCGACTGGTGACGGCTTCCACTCCGCTAATTCCACGGATTTTGGAACATCAGCAGCAGTGTTTCAGCCTTGTTTACTATTTAATTAAACCAGACTGTAATTAAGTTAGATTTTCATGTAAGCTGTTGTTTTAATTGAGGCTAATTTATTTAAGGCCTCCAATTTGCTTTTTTGTTCTTGGTAGAATTCACTTTACCTGCTCCAAACGGGGGCTGCTGAAGCACCTGGTCTTCTTTTGGCACATTACCCTTCCCATTTCCTTGCACCCACTGCAGGAAGGCACCAGTGCTGCAGTAAATAGATTAGCCCATTGGTGTGGAATCAGGGATGAAGAATCAGTCTCTCCTGGAGCTTGTTTGACTTCAAGCGTGAAACTATAAAGTGTTTGTGATAGCTCACAGCGTCTCCCCTCTCCCTACCAGGAGCTGATTAATATGCTGATAAGATGCTGTGATTCATGAACCTCTGCTAGGCTGGCTCTGTGTTCGGTGCAGTTATTCCTAAATAATAAATGGTAATAAAATCCAAGAGCCCAAGGATGCTGAGCTGGTTGGGGAATCTCCAGGGGGATTGTGTCACGTCGCACCAGAGCACGGCGTTTTTCAGGTCCTGCTGCGGGAGGGATGCTCACAGAATCCTGGGATGGGTTCTGCAAGGGACCTGGAAGAACATCTCATTCCAATCCCCAGCCTTGGGCAGGGACATCTCCCACTGTCCCAGCCTGCTCCAAGCCCCAGTGTCCAACCTGGCCATGGACACTTCCAGGGATCCAGGGGCAGCCACGGCTTCTCTGGGCACCCTGTGCCAGGGAACAATTCCTTCCCAATATCCCATCTGACCCTGCCCTCTGGGAAGCCATTCCATGTGTCCTGTCTCTCCATGCCTTGTCCCCAGTCCCTCTCCAGCTCTCCTGGAGCCCCTCCAGGCCCTGCAAGGGCTCTGAGCTCTCCCTGGATCCTTCTCCTCTCCAGGTGAGCACCCCCAGCTCTCCCAGCCTGGCTCCACAGCAGAGGGGCTTTCCCTGCATAGGACCCCTTCATGCTCCTGAAGAGCAGGACACATCCCTGGGGGTTTGCAGCATTCCCAAGTTGAAAATTCCCAAGTTTTGTCCTTTTTTCTTTCCCAATGTGAAACCACAACATTTGTTTGGACATAATGATGAGCAGAGGGAGTCTGTGCCCTCCGGCCGTTGGTTCTGTTGGCAGGAAAGGAGATGAAGGATTCTCACGTGTGTTCCTGTCCTAATCCCTGTCATTTGTGTTCATTGTTGAACCTCAGACACATCTGCACATGTGAGGAGTGACCTCATTTACTCCTGACTGTTCCTTTAATTTATTGTGATGTTGAAAGTCGGTGGCCTTCGATGTTGTAGAAGATGGAAGGATGTTCAGATAGGATTTCTGCTGTCGGCTTTTAATCCTCCTTTGCATACTCTCTGTGGGACAAAGATAATTCTAGGCATGATTTCAGCCTTTGTTATTAATTCACAATTATAATTTGGCTGTATGCTTCTCTGGAAATGCTGGGCCTTTGATGGCAGATCAGCTCTTAGGCCACACGAGCCATGTTCTTTCACAACTGCTCTCTGAAAGGGGATGAACCTTATATTTTTTCTTTTTGGCATTCCTCAGCATTTTCACAGGGAGCACTGGGGAACACAGGGCAAATGGCAGGGCTGAGGTGCTCTCTCCTTACTTCTCCTTCTGCTCTAAGATGTGCATGCACGTCAGCCCCTTCCATTGATTGGGAAATGCCACTCCTGGATTTAATTAGGC